GTGGTCGTTGGCAACACTGTCTATTGTTGCCTGTGAGTCGTTCCTCTTAGCGCTATGCATCTCTGCTCCGCTTTGTTTTGTTTTCTTTGTAATGTGGTTCTTTGTAATCCTGGCCGATTGATGGCTTTGTTAATTCAAAGCCGGGCTAGGTTCGAGCCCTTTCTCGGGCTCGGCCGATGCTTTTTCTCTAAAAAACATTATAGTGGGTTCTCTTCTACAGTTATTTTTTAATGGGAAGACATCAGAGGCAGATGCTGCTCATGAAATTGTCACTAGACATTTCAGGTTACATATTTACAATTATATAATAAAGTGAGTATAACCCATTACACATATTAGTTCTCCTGTTATGTGGAAATTGTTTGAAATTTTAGGCCACATTTTGGCTTTCGCTCGGGGCCCCCAATTTCTGGAGACGGCCCTGAATAGCATGTCTTCCATATTTGATTGGACTCTAGAATATTTTTGTCGAAAAGGAGGTTTAAACCCCTAGCTTTTGTATGATTGTGATGCACACATCCATTATATTACTAAAGGATAATTAATTGTATGCCCCTAGTTAAATCCCACTCAACAGTTTTATCCTTAGTTTGCAAAAACCATCGGGTCTGCCCAAGCAACTCCGCTCCTTTTATACTTTTGTCCTCAGACCGTTTGACAGTCACTTTGAAAACTTAAAAACAAATTCATACTAGCAGAAAAACGCAAATAAGATATCAAAATGCTCAGGAAAACATCACATGTATGTGCATTTGCATCCGTGACAAAAGTTTTGGAAAGCCCCCATCTCAGTCTGAGCTCGTATGATCTGAACATGAACAGTGGAATGTGCACCGCCCCCACCCTGAACCGTAAAATAGATAGTGGGGCGATTACGGCGAGCCCCTTTGTTCTCTCCGGCTAGGCCGTTCCTTCTCCTTCCTTAGCTCAAAATCGACTGACCCAAAACTGAAAAGTCAGCTGAGTGAAATGTAGCTAAAGGAAACGTCCGAGTCAACCAACCACCGTGCATCTGCTCGGCTCCACCCAAAACCCGCCCAACCCGTCCGCCTCGCTCGCTCGCCCGGCAATCCCCTCCCAATAAACAAATAATGAAGCCGCCGGCGCGGCGGCCGCTGCTGGGCGCGCTGGCGGCGGCGGCGGCACTCTCCTGCCTGCTGCTCCTCGCGCCGCCGCCCCGCCACCTCTTCCCCTCCTCCTCCTCCTCCCCCACCCGCGCCCCGACCTCCCCCTACGCGCGCCGCCCCAAGCTGCTCTTCCTCCTGGCCGGCCAGTC